TCCCAGCTTGAGATTTAACACATTGTATGTAAAAACAAGATTAATATTTATCTTAATATTGAATATTGTAATTGTAACGAAGATGGCCTGCCAGATACATAATTATTTTGCTCTTATTCAACAAATGAGCCAACTTTTGCCCAAGGAAGACTCAATGGTCAGTTGTAATCTGATTCCAAGGTATTTATGACCCAAAGGAATGTGCCCACACCACAGCACAAAAGACCTTTCCAGGACTTCTTTAAGCTCATTGCTTAAGACTGATGTTTTAATGTAAACTTTACTCTCTCTTCATGTGTAATCATCTGTTTTGCATCGTTTCCCTTACACCTGTATTAATATTATGGTTTTAATACTTCCGCATACAATGTTTAACTCTACTGAAGCTAAACAAGCTCATAAACCGTTCATGTTTAGACTTGTTTTGAAGCTAATTTACTTTACTGATTGTTGACATTTTATGTTAATGCGAGTGCAACATATTAACATTTTAAGAGACTTGAACATTTCTGCCTCAGTTTGCATCAAGTTTGCCTATGCAAATGCCTTTTCTTCAGACAGAGTCATAAACCATAATGCAGAGAAGTTTTTAATTGGTCAACTTTCCATGGAGGGTGGATCCAAACCCACCCTATGAAGCTTGTGTTCAAAGCTCTCTCTTAAACCGCAGCCTCTGCTCTGCAACTCTCTTCAAATCCTCTGCAACTTCTTCTCAAGTCAAGCAAGAACTCTTCTCTCAACTCTCTTCTCATAAACCTCTTCAACCTCAACGACCTAAGCACCAGACCTAAGCAGAGAAACCTCCAAGAAAGCAGGCAGAGACCCAGACGGAAAGGGTTAATCGCACAGCTCGTACATTCACATCTCCGATACCTTCTTTTCTTTATTTTCCTTTATTTTCCTTTATTTTCTAGTTAAGTTAGTGCGTCGCAAACCAGTGGTCAGCACAAGTGGCCCCTTTTGCCGCTTCAATTTGAAACACCGACTCTACCCCACTTCAAAACCTCGCGAGGACAAGGAACAGGAAAAGGAGCCATGTGCTCAACCAAGGAAGCTTCTTCACATCACACAGACAGACGCAAGTATCCACTTTCTGCCTACCTCTGAACTGGTGTAAACTAAATGCAAACCTAAAGAGACAATAGAAGGGTGAATTTGAATATGTTTGGTTCGCTTGGTTTGCTCTTACAAACTTCGAGGTTTTCCCATCATTAAATTCTCTCAACCTCTTACTTTACCTTCTTTACTCTTCTCTACACTTGTATGCATGTGTGTTTGTGTTAGGTGTTAGTTTCTGTTAGTCAATAAAGTTTAATTTTGTATAAAGAAAGGTGCCTGTGTATATTTATGAATCTAATGTCTTAAATCTTTGATTGTTACCCTGCTCAAACATAAATGGGTATTTATTTTGATAGCAATAGCCACAATAAACTTGACTGTCCACTCAAACGGTCGCTGGACGATTCGTTTGTTCGGATTTAAAGAGTCGATTTGTTTGAAGCCCTGTTAAAATGAATCTTCCTACCGTTAAGCTAATACGTTATATATATATAATGGTGCACACTGTAAAAAATAATACCCCATATCTACTCAATAAATTTGAGGCAACAGATTACAAGCAATATTATTAATTAAATTCCACATATATGGATTGAGTAACAATTAATCAAATTAGCTTATTTAAAATTAGTCATTTAAATTGAGTAAGCAAAAATTACTTAAAGAAATTAGCAAATTTTAAACAAAAATATTAATTAAATTGAACAGAAAAACTGACACAATGGTAATGAAAACTACTCAATGTTTTTATTTAGATTTAACATAAAAAGTGTGGAGCCTGGTCATCAGCTCTAGAAAATAATGCTTTATATCTACACAATAAAATTGAGGCAACAGATTACAAACAATAATATTAATTAAACTCAACAAGTATGGATCGAGTAAAATTGAATTAAATTTAGCTCAAATTAGTGGAGCCTGTTCAGCAGTGTTGAGCCACAATACAGAGTAACAACATGTCACCGACTCGGTCCCAGTCATTCCCCTCGCTGGCCAGCAGAGGCAGCCATCTCCTGACTTCTAAGCATTACATCATCCACTTACACTGATCGTGCACACCTGTTTCCCAATCCAGTCAATGACCCACGTACCCTTTATAAACCGCACTCAAACATTCACTCAGTGCGAAGTCTTGTTCAGCCCCGGCCAGCATTACTGAGCGGTGTTTCCTGCCTGATCTCTTGTGTATTACTTTGGACTGTTTCTGACTCTGCTTTGCCTTCTGCCTGCCCACAACCCAAGCCTGTTACACGGACTCTGATACTCACTGCCTGCCCACGACCCAAGCCTGCTACAGGGACTCTGAATCACGCTGCCTGCCTTTGACCCATGCCTGGTAAATCACTCTGTGTCTGTCAGCCACCAGCCTTGAGACCTTTACTGCTATTTTTTTTTTGTGTTCGCACCTTTGTGCGTATTGAATGTTTGAGTGAGAGTGTGATTAATAAATACTGCATAATGTATCCCTCCGTGTCAGTCTCCTCGTTACACAACAATCTCATAAGAGACAATACAGCATACAATAAAACATGTACATTTAAACACACTGATCATCTTAACAAGGACTTTGATCATCTTTTTTTAAACAGCAGTTTCAAATAACTGGACATTAAACAATATTATTTAAAACAATAGACTAAGAGTTAAATTTATGTGATTTAATGCATGAAAGGTATTATTTGCCAGAATAATGCAGATTCATTGAAGCAAAGAGGACACCACAGTTCATGGGAATACTACCCTCTAATATCTTTCAGTGTTAACCAGACAGTCACTTGTAAAAACAAAATTCTTTGACACAGTTAAAATGCATAGGTCAAACCCAGGTGGACACAAGCTCTGGGAATGTAGTCAAGAGCCGTGTTTTCACTCTCGCGACTTAAGTTAGCGTGCCAATGCGAGCCAGGGCCAGTCAAGTTTCCACAGTCACTTCCGGGGCCTGATCAGATACTCTGGGCCAAAACAGTCCAGCTGGGGCTTTGGGCGGAGTGAAAGCAGAGTTTGCCTGAGTCTGGTAAAGATGAGGTCTATAAGAACTTTAACACCTTCAATGATGATGATGATGATGCCAGTATCTTTAGGCAGTCCCCTGTAGAAGGCCCCTGCTCAGGTCAACATTACTGCCCTCACAAGTTGTTCAGTTCCTGTCAGTTCTTCATTGTCCAACTCCATTAAGCAACAGTAAGAACAAAAATGAATAAAAGAGAAAATATGTTCATAATCTGTTATCATGTTATGATATACAGTCAGAAACTGTAAACATGATAAACTCTACCTTTAGTCTCAGATCTCTGTCTTACTCCAAGAGCTCCTCAACAGGTGTGAAGATTCACGGTGCACAGTGGCTTCTCTCTCCAATTCAGCGCTCACCTTAAACATAATGACAGACAAAATGTTTACATGAGTTTTATTGATACGTTGTAAAACATTTTACCCTTAATTAACAGTAAATTACTGACTAATAATTGTATTACTTTCACAGTAAGCCACTGTGATTTGTTTTACACTTACTTACTGTGAAATTACAGCCATATGTGACTTCAAGGTAGATAGTAAGGCCCATTTCTGTGATTTCACCTTATTCTCTTGTAGAATTAACTATACTTCACTGTGAAGTTACAATTAATGGCACGATGGTTACTTTGATTTAACAGTATGTTGTAGCTGAAATAGTTAACTGTAACATGTATGTCCTGCTTGCAACCTAGACTGTCATCCATTCAGTCAGTCGTTTTCCTGATAAGTTACACACTTGCTGGTTGATGTGTCTCCTCTGCCTCTGACACTATACAAAAAGTTGCAATTAGTAAATAGTGTTAGACAGTACCATTTTTGTTTTGGTTTGATAATGAGGTTCATAATGAAGTGAAGGCCAGTGCTTACCTTGCTTACTTTATTCTGTGGTCACTTTAACTCAATGCTGTGCTGAAACAGAACACTGTTAACACCAAGTTAACAGAAAATTACCTTTTTAAAACTCAAACACTCTCTAATACCACGAAATTAGCATTAACGTTACAAACACGCGTTCTTATCTTTTTACTCATAGCGCACGTGCTGCTGATGATGTGACAATAAAGTGATTTGGTAGCTTCGTTTATAAATAGGTGCGCTAAACAGCGTGACAAAAGAAGCTAAAGTTAATTGGTGAATTACATGCTATACAGAAATATACAACAATTATTTAATTAACAAAGTTGGACATTTCAACACTTACCGATAAATCCGTTTGGATGAGACAACGACATCTCCGCGTTGTCTGGTGAAGCGAGTCGGCGTTGTTTAAGTCGAGTGACTCGGTTCGTTTCTAGGAATCAGCTCACTTAAGTGATTTGTAAGAGTCGGATCCCACCCGAAACCGATTGCATTTTTGTGTAATTACCAACACGATTGATTAGCATTTCGCTATAACTCAGTCACACGCATTTACACTATACACTAATTACATGTTGATGACTATAAGCTTTTGAACACGTGTAATAAAAAGATTCCCGTTTCCCCATCTCCCAGCAAACAGTTCAATCCAAAGACGGTTCAATCCGATTTAATCTCACACTGAACAGAACCAATACAATAATCAAATACTGCTCTAAATGTACCATGAAATATACCATAACCAATGTACCATAAGTTTTAGCGGTTGTTCATGCGAGAATGTAGTTGTTTAAAACTCAAATCCGCTGTTAATCTCTAAAGACTAAAGATGTGCGTATTTTTAAATGTCCTTTGAAAATTGCTGACATGTCCACCTCCAGGTCATGACGGGCGCTCATCACTCGTGTAACCGGCAAGCGCAGCTGGTCCTCGGCGACTTGTGTGCCCCTGGCTAATCTGAAAATGCTCATTTTAATCACGTTAGATTTAATTATTATTTTCTCTTTCTGAAATTATTCAAAAATAATAGCTAAATTCTTCTGATAAAACCACGTTGGATTTAATTATTATTTTCTCTTCTGAAACTATTCAAAAATAACCTGCTAAATTCTCATAATAAAATCAAGTTGGATTTAATTAATATTTTCTCTTTTTGAAATTATTCAAAAATAACAGCTAAATTCTTATAATAATATTAATTAGATTTTATTACAGACATTTTTAAATTAATTTCAAAGCAAAAAAATGCCCTAAAATCAGGAAAATAATTTCATTAAATAAAGTGTACATATTAATATTAATGAAATCTACAAGGCCACAAAATTTTTACAGTGCAGAAGTTACATGAGCACTGTAATCTGGATCATAATTCACTACATTATAACGGTGGAAAAGGCACGGGAAGAATAACCTTGAGCTAATTTGTTACAGTAATAATTTTGTAGATATGCGAGCACTTAAATCTACATTATAATTTGTTATAGAATATTAATGTAGATATGAGTGCAATTTAATCTACATTACAATTTGCTACATTATTTATGAACAAGTTTCAATATTATTATTATTATCACTCTAAAAATGAAGAGTTTCGCAATTCACTGAATTAGCTCACGCTAATAAGGTTTTATTTAAAAATTGCATATTTTTTTCTTACCTTCTGTCCACACAGAGATGGTGTTTTTAGTATGAATGCAGCAAGTGTTTTTACTGACAAGTTTTACACAGCAGATGCCCTTCAAGCTGAAACCCAGTACTGGGAAACACTCACACACTACACCCATACCCAGTGTTGGGCAAGCTACTTGAAAAATGTAGTGAGCTAAGCTATTAGCTACTCTACTTGAAATGTAGCTTAACTTCACTAAAAACTACCCCCTGGGAAATGTAGCATTCTAAGCTAAAAGCTACTTGGCAAAAGCAGCTTTGCTACATCTAAGCTATTTTTGCAATTTTCATTTTTAAATCAAATTATCAAAGCAACTTAAATCTAAGTCAATCATATCTTAGTGACCAATAAAACTGTCAATGAAACATATGAGGCTTAATTGCTCAGTTTAATTATTTACTGCAAATAATATGCTGGACTAAACAGAAACAAATTATATTATATAACACCAAAAACAAGAAATACAATAAAAGCAGGTGTTACTCAATTTAAATACTATAGTAATTTATAGTAAAGGGACATACTTAGCAATAATATATATATATATATATGCAATATCACAATAGTCGCAGTGCGATATGGCTGTATATCAGCACGGGTGGGAGTCGTGCGTTGGCACGAGGCCGTAGGCCGAGCATCCCTCAAGAAAATCAAAAACGAAGAGTCTAAAAACCCCTTTTTATTAGGAACTACTTTCTTCCGCTATTCATTCACATCTGCAGCTGATGTCAAAACAGCAAAAGCCGTTACTAATTTACCAACATCACTTTAGAGCTAGTGTTTGAATGACTCTGTCTAAAGTGATGACAAAGCAGCTGATTTTGCTTACACTTTAAGATTATATGGCTGAATGTGACATGAAATGCCATCCATCTACAGGGATATCTTCTTACAGTGTTACAGTCTACAGTATTTCTCTGTTGCAATCAGGAGATCACAATAATTAACCCCAAAAAAATCTGACTGCTGTTCTGTTTGCGATAAGGAAAAATGCTAAACACATGTGGACTTTGCTTATTTCAATCTGCTAACACAACACACATTCCTGATATGCGAGAAAATTGGTAAATATACAGCAGTACAAGTTACAACACACAAAAGTGAGAGATCATCTAACCTGCAAACATGTCTCTGAAAACCCGAGAGACCAGGAGGAGGGGGTGTTCAGGGGTGAATAACATTGTTGAGAACTGGGACAGGATGCCGCCGGTTTTGGGCGAGTACTGTACCAAAGTTTGCAACCCGGGGGTGTTTACAGACCATACCAAAGAGGGACGGGGGTGGGTAAAATTACGGGAGTTTTTTTTAGGAAGAAATAAAAACGGGATGGTTGCATGAGACTGGTCTGAAATTCGGGATACTCCCATGAAAAATTGAAGTGTTGGCAGGTATTGCTTACCAGTTTACCAATGATTTGATATGCTATAGTAAAAAATCATACTGTTATCAGCATCTAAGAGTAAGGGCTTATTATGCGGTTCTGTCGCCATCTTGTGGACAGAAAGCGTCAACCGTCTTTGATCTACACTATGGCTGTCAACGAGATCTCTCTGAAATTGTTAATATTTAAAAATAGTCACTATTCTAGCAAATAAACTTTATAGTTGCAATCTAAACAACTACATTCAAGCCTCAAAAATATATTTTGTTGTCTAAAGGCAGTAATATTGGTCAAACTGTAGTGTCTGTTTGTTGCTGGCTGAATGTGGGCGGAGTAATATACAAAGGGTAAAAATACATACACCAGTAGATGCAACACAGTGCACTAAAGATTATGTCATGGAGCAAGCAAAGACAAATAGCCAATATCTATCAATGCCCACTGTATAGCCATTTTCTGATGACCAAACAGGGCATGTTCGTACACCACCATTCAACACACCCATACGTCGTCCAGAAGACAACGATTCAATACGGATCGCATCTGCTGCTGCATCTTTTCATAATAATTCCAGTACGAACGACTTTGTGCGTTACTTAGCTCGCCGTGAACTGATTTCTACAGGGCTACTGAAATTCAATGATAAACTAGAAAGCTACAGAGCCTGGCGGTGTTCATTTAAGAATACTATCAGAGATTTAAACTTAAAGTTTAGTGAGGAAATTGACCTTCTTGTCAAGTGGCTTGGAAAGGAGTCTGCTGAACATGTCAGTCGGATCCGAATTGTAAATGCAAATAACCCAGAGAGAGGTTTGGAAATGATTCGGACCAGGTTAGAGGAATGCTATGGCTCACCAGAAGTGATAGAGAATTCACTATTCAGACGTCTTGAGAGCTTTCCCAAACTAACAAATATTATGCAAAACTAAGAGAGTTAAGTGACTTAAGCAGGTCGCACACCCGAAGCGCCACTCGGCGGCGCGCCGCGCAGCGCCACACTGCGCAGCGCCATGCATTTCATAATTCTAAACATAGGTTTCTATCAAAATACACACACTGGCGCCTCAAGTCGGCAGCTGTCGGCGGCGCCTGCCCACGACTCAGGACGCAGTTCATTTTTCAGCCGCGCCACAGAGCGCCATCTGATTAGTTTCATCTTAAATATCATTCGAATGTGCGTGTCTGGTGTGCGATACTTTAATCTGTCATGTGCGCGCCATGTCGCGACGCCAAGCAGCACTTCTGGTGTGCGACTTGCTTTACTCATGGAGCTGCAGGCGGCAAAGGCTGATGGAGATTTGCCTGGACTTGCGGTACTTGACACCGCTCGTGGAGTAAATCCTGTTGTTGAAAAACTTCCTTTCGGACTTCAGGATAGGTGGTTATCTGTGGGCTCTGATTATAAACTGAAAAACAACGTCCCATTCCCTCCCTTTGATGTGTTTGTTGGGTTCATTAGTCAACAGGCAAAGATCAGAAATGACCCAAGTTTCAGTTTTACATCTCATGTAGATAGTCCTGCCAAGATAACTCCATGGAAACAGTTTACGCAGAAGGAGATTTCAGTTCACAAAACAGACGTGTCACCTACTGTCTTCTGCAACAAAGAGAAACTCCCTAACAATAACTGTGACAAGTTGTGTCCTATATTTAAAAAGGCACATCCTCTTCGCAAGTGCCGTATTTTTCAGGAGAAGCCTTTGGAAGAGCGTAAAGCATTTCTGAAAGAAAATGGAATCTGCTTTAGATGCTGTATGTCATCACTGCACATTGCAAAAAATTGCAAGGCCCATGTTAAATGCACAGATTGTGGTAGTGAGAATCATGACACTGCTCTTCACCTTGGACCAGTACCATCGACTCATGACATAACCCCCCATCCAGAGTATGGCGGGGAGAGGGATCCAGCATCAGCATCTACAATCTCATCACATTGCACCCAGGTCTGCGGTGGGGATTGGACTGACAGATCATGCTCAAAAATCTGTATCGCCAAAGTCTATCCTAGTGGTTGTCGCAGTAAAGCAGTGAAACTTTATGCAATAATTGATGACCAAAGTAACAGATCAATGGCCCGTACCGAGTTCTTTAATATGTTTGGCATACAAAGCCCTAGCTTACCATATTCATTAAAAACTTGTGCTGGGATTGTGGAAACAACAGGAAGAAGAGCAAGTGGCTTTCAAATTGAATCTATGGATGGACAGACTAGTCTTCCACTTCCAGACCTAATCGAGTGTAATGAGATTCCCAATAACCGATTAGAGATTCCTTCACTTTCTGCTGCTTTCCATCACCCCCACCTCAAATCAGTAGCACATCTCATCCTGGAAATCGATTCAGATGCTCACATTCTACTTCTCCTTGGACGAGATATCCTCAGACTGCATAAGGTGCGTAAAACACTCAATGGCCCACATAACTTGCCATTCGCACAAAAGCTTGATCTGGGATGGGTCATTGTATGCAATGTCTATCTAGGGAATGTCCATAAGCCAACAACAGTTAACGCACTATACACTAAGATTCTGGATAATGGAAGGTCTTCACTCTTTGAACCATGTCCCAATGTCCTGCTGGTAAAGGACAGATATAGTGGTTCCCACATTCCATGTTGCAACAGAAAACTCACACACCAATCAGACCACTTGGGTGATATGGTGTTTCAACGTAAAAGAGATGATGATAAAGTAGCTCTGTCCATTGAGGATGACTACTTTCTGGACATTATGAAAAAAGAGTTTCAAAAAGATGAAAACGACAGTTAGGTGGCACCACTGCCATTTAAAAATCCCAGACAGCGTCTTCTTGACAATAGAATGCAAGCTATGAAGCGGCTCTCATCCCTCTTGCACAACTTTGAGAGGAAACCACAGATGAGAGAACACTTTGTATCCTTCATGGAGAAAGTTTTTGAGAACGGTCACGCAGAGGTGGCTCCACCTCTCAAAGATGAAGAGGAAAGGTGGTATCTCCCTATATTCGGTGTATATCATTCAAAGAAACCTGGACAAATC